GGAGGCTGAGGCAGGAGACTTGCTTGAGCCCAGGAGTTAGAGGTTGCTGTGAGCTGTGATGCCACAGCACTCTACCCAGGGGTATAGCTTGAGGTCTGTCTCAAGCTATCAAAAAAAAAAAAAAAAAAGCACTTACTTTGTGGGAGGCTATATCCTCAGCACTTTATATGTATTAGAATACTTTTTTTTTTTTGGAGACAGAGTCTCACTTTGTTGAGCTCAGTAGAGTGCTGAAGCATCAAAGCTCACAGCAACTTCAAACTCTTGGGCTTAAGCTATTCTTTTGCCTCAGACTCCTGAGTAGCTGGGACTATAGGCTCCTGCCATACATCCAGCTATTTTTTGTTTTTGTTTTTGTTTTTTTTGAGACAGAGCCTCAAGCTGTCCCCCTGGGTAGAGTGCCATGGCTTCACTGCTCACAGTAACCTCCAACTCCTAGGCTCAAGCGAGTCTCCTGCCTCCACCTCCAAAGTAGCTGGGACTACAGGCACCCACCACAAAGCCTGGCTTTTTTTTTTTTGGTTGCAGCCATTATTGTTGTTTGGCAGGCTGGATTCGAACTTGCCACCTTAGGTGTATGTGGCTGGCGTCTTAGCCTCTTGAGCCACAGGCGCTGAGCCTACTTTTTTTTTTTTAAATACAGGGTCTCATTATATTGCCCAGGCTAGAGTGCAGTGGCCATTCACAGACGTGATTACAGTGCACTGCTGCCTCCAATTCCTGGGCTCAAGCTATCCTCCTGCCTCAGCTTCCCCAGTAGCTGGGACTACAGGGAACTCCAGCCCAGGCTGGAATATGATTACTTTGAAGATGAGGAGGCTGAGGCAGAGAAAGGTTAAATAACAAACCAAAGTCACACAGCTAGTGAGCAACTCAGCATGGATTTAAATCTCTTAAGGTTTGGTCTGGCTAAGAGTCCATGGTCGGTTTTTTTTTTTTTTTTTTTTTTTTTTTTTGAGATAAGGCCTCACTCTGTCACCTTGGCTGGAATGCAATGTCACTAATGTAGCTCACTACAATCTTGACTTCCCTCTAAACTCAGACTCCCCAATAGCTGGGGCTATGGGTATATACCACCACACCTGGCAATTTTTTTTTTTTTTGAGACAGAACCTCACTTTGTCACCCTCGGTAGAGTGCTGTGGCATCATAGCTCACAGCAACTTCAAACTTTTTTTAGTTTAAGTGATCCTTTTGCATCAGCCCCCCAAGTAGCTGGGACTACTGGCACCTGCTACAATGCCTGGCTATTTTTAAAGACTGGGTCTCTGGTCTTGCTCAGGCTGGTCTCAAACTCTTGAGCTCAAGGGATCTACCCACCTTGGCTTCCCAGAGCACTAGGACACCTGACAAATTTTCAAAACATTTGTGTAGAGATGGGGTCTTGCTATATTGTCCAGGCTGGTCTCTAATTTCTGCCTCAATCATTCCTCCCAAAGTGCTGGGATTAAAGGTGTGAGCCGCACCTGGTCCATGTTCTTAACCACCAAATGATGCCGTTTCAAAGTGAAGAAACCAGGCCAGGGCTGAGAAACAACTGACCTGAGGTGTGAGCTAACTGTATTTGCCCTTCTTTGAAGCTGAGTCTTTTTAAACAGATTTTTTTTTTTTTTTTGCAGTTTTTGGCTGGGGCCGGATTTGAACCCACCACCTCCAGTATATGGGGTCAGCACTCTACCCCTCTGAGCCACAGGTGCTGCCCCGAAGCTGAGTCTTTATGCATCTTGCCTCCCACATAAGGGTCTGGGTCTCTAATTGCCCACAGAGCAATTAGGTAGGTTCCAGGACACTTACCCTGTAGGTCAGAGGTCAACAGAGGGAGGGGGTCCTGTGGAAATGCAGTCCTGGTATGGGGAAGTGAGAATAGCAGCAGCAATAGCAGCAAAGACATGAAGTAGGAGGCACGGGGCATCCTGTGCGGGGCAGCTCAGGCCCCAGGGGGTGCCCCCTCACCCATATGCTGGCCCTGAAAGAGGAAAGAGAAAAGTGGGGGAGGGGCCAAGTGCCCTCCACCCTTGATGCAGGCAGATTCCTCTCCTGGTCTATCCCCAGACCCTGTTGGGTAGGGGAAAGAACTCTCTCCCTAGCACTGCCCCAGTCTCAGTCAGCTGTCATTGTCACTCAAGGGCCTTCCCTTTCCAACTGGCCCAAACTTGCTGGAGTGAGGCCTGTGACCCCAGGTAAGGACAGAACATACTCACCCTCCTCCCATCCTTCTCACTCAGCCTTTCCTCCTCTCTCCTGACTGGGACTGGGACATTCAGTAGGTGACACCTTCTGGCCCCCCTCTTTCTAACCCCTTCTCAGCTATAATTAGACACCGAAGCCTTAAAATTATAAATAGTGACTCCTTGGCACTGGGAGGAAAAAGAGGGCACCATGTCTGCCTCACCCTCCCTTGCAGACCCCCATAGCACCCTAGGAGTGATGCAGGCACTGGGCCCAGTGCTACGTGGCTGCCACTGTCCTCTCTAGGACTTATGAAGATAGAGTCAAGGGTGGAGGCAGACTAGAAGTCACTGTCCAGGTCTAAGCTCCTCCTTCAGGGGCCCTTCCTATGACTAGGGAAGAGGCTGGGCAGGGAGAGGAGTTGGAGGAGGGGGACTATCCTAGCCAAAAATGAATCTGCATCAAAGCCAGATCAGAGGCTAAATTTAGCTCTGGCTGCAGCTGTTCCCCTGGACCCACTATGCCCCCTCCCAGCTTCTCTAGTCCCCTGCTTCCTCCCTGGCTCCTAAGGACTGGTGCACCCCTTTGAGGAAGTAGGGATAAAAGGGACTAGTGTGGTGAAAGGGCTAAATGTTCCCCCCTTTCCCTTCATTCCCTTATCAGGTTGCCTCTGAAATTGAAATATAAATAATTCAATGACAGGCTGGCAATTGTAAACTAAAGTCCAAGAAAAGGTGAATATGATGAAAAGGATAGTGAGACAGGCCTCTTTCCCAGTCATCGACCTCCCCTAGCCCAGCTGACCCTAGGCCCCACTGGAGGAGTACACACCTTGTATTCTGAAATTGAATCGAGGGGCAGAGTAGGTTCCAGAAATCAGGTCAGGAAGGGTGAGAAGCCTTTATTTCATGAACAAATAACTACCCTTCACCATTCCTTACTTGCCCATCCACCAATGTCCCCTACAAGAGAGACCCTGGCCTTCTGAGCCTAATCCCCTTCTATCTCCCCCAATTCCACTCTTGGAGCCAGGACCCAAGCGTCCCCTCACCCCCAATCCAGTGTCCCCAGTGGGGAAGCTTACGTCAGGTGAAGTCCCAAGAGAGCTGGAGGAGGGGAAGGGATAGGAACATCTAATGATGACCCCGCCTTCCCCAGGGGCGGAGGAGTCAAGATAGCTAACGACCCTCAAGTTGAAAGGCTGGAGCATCCTCCCTCCCCCACTTTGCATTTCCAGATGCTGATGCCCCCAGGGGAAGAGAAAAGGACACAGCTTGTCTTTTATCCTCCCTAACCCCCCCCCCCAAGTTGCCCTGAGCAACTGGTATCTTCACCCTGGAAACAACTTTGGTCTCTGCCAAGTGGGGAAAATAGACCCTCTTTCCTGCTCCCTGGCCATGCCTGCCTCCATCCCCTGTCCTCAGGAGGTACTGCTCTTCCCTTACCTGGGAAGGTGACTCTTGTGGAGATTTGAGAGGGATAGAAGACCTCTGACCTGATGGAAGATGGGACAAAAGGAAAGAAGAGATTGATTTACATGCACCTTCCTCACCACACCCCTTAAGAGTAAATGTGAAAATTCAGGAAAAGTCTGTTGAGGGTAAGATAGGGGAGATGACACTACAGAAGAGGGGTGCTGGTGACATTTAGCTGGGTTACAAAGGTGCTGTCATGCCCAGAGGTGTGGGGGCAGGGGATGAAGATGGCCCCAGCCAGAAACTCCTGGAACTGCAGGGCCAGCCCTTGGCAAAAGGGGTAACTGGAGTTTGTGGGGCCTGATGATCACTCCCATGTTAAAACCCTCAGAATGCAACAGCCTTGCTAGCAAAAGCTCACTAGCTAGGGACAATAGAGACTAATTTGCATCTCATTTACATGCTCTTCATTTCCAAGCAAAATGCTCTGATAGCAAGCACCCCCAGTCCCTTCCTTCCAGCAGGCCCTAGTCCCTCCGACCCAATCTCTCTTCACATGCCCCCCCCACACACACACACTTTCAGCTGGATTAGTCTAGCGCCTAAAAATACTCGGTTGGCCTTTGCATTGGCCCCATAGGCTCAACTACAATATCTTTTTAAGAGGGCTTCCCATTGCAGTTTTGGAGGAGCAGCATCTGGGCAGCTCCTAGCCAACCCCTGGTCTGGAGAAAGGTTTACTCTGCCCTGGAGTAATCCCGACTGCTTCATACTCCCCATCTGAAGCAAATGCGAGAGATCTGGCCGACTTTTTCTCTTGCTTCTAGATCCTCCCCTTGCTAGGAAGAGGAAACGGCGTTTTTCTCTCCTCCTGCCCCCTGTAGCCACCTCTGGGGAGTGGCCGGGGTCATAGAGCCTAGCGGAGATGGAGAAGAGACAGAGAAGGGGAGATCGGGCTGGGGACAATAGCAGGAAGCCTTGGGCTAGTCGCCGGCTCCAATCCACCTTCCTCGGGAGCAGGGGCGTGCCAAGAAGCCTGGCGGAGCCGGTGCGTTCTCTTCTCCAAGCAAGACCTTTCTCCCACCCTTGGTTCACCCAGGCTTGGCACCTACTCTCCCTCCCAAGCAATCCCCAACGAGGCTCATCCAGGTGTTTAGAACGTCGCAAAAGGTGGGCCTGGGGCCAAGGGATCGACGTATCTCCCCCTCACTGGATCTGGGGCTCTGAGGAGGGGCGGGTAGCAGAGCCTGGGCCGGGACCGGGTCCCAGAGCCACGTTAGCGGGAGGAGGGGCTGGAGGGGCCTGCAGGCTCAGACAGAGTGGGGATGGGAGCGGGGGTTGGGAAGCAGAGGCGGGTCTCCCAGGGCAGGGAAACTGGGCCAGAGGCTGAGAACAGACGAGGGCGGGCCTGAGGCCCGCGCTGCGCTGGGTCTGTGGGCTCCGGAGGCAGCAGCCCGCTCCGATCTCCTTCCCAGGGGACTCAGTCTAACAAAGCCCCCGGCCGAGAGGAGCGGAAGAAGGAGATGGGTGCTGGGACCGAGGCTGTTTGGGGGGTCCTTTCCCTGACTCTGTGTCAAGCCGACCCCAGGTCCGCTTGTGTAAGGACTGAGGTGGAACCGTGACACCAAAGTCCAAAGTGAGGCGCCCCCTTTCGCATCTCCGCGGGGGCATCCAGAGGGCAGCTCTCCGCGGGTTTCAGAGCCTTAGTTTCCTTGCGGAGGAGGCAAGGGGCCAGGGTTTCCACCTTCCCTACGGTGCGCGCTTCAAACAATCCCCTTTCCCTCTCCCCAGCGCGGGACGCGACTCGGAGAAAGCCCACTTGAAAAGGTGTCCATACCCTCCGCACTACAGTGCAGCGACGGGGCCCAACCATCGTCCCTCCTCCACACCTGCACCCTAACTTCGCTGACCCTCTCCGCCAGCCCGGCGTCCAGCGCGCCGGCAGCCCGCCGGGTCCCTCCAGCCCTTGGGGAGGTCGCCCCGGTCCCTCCCCACCTCCCGCAGCTCCACCCCTGCCCGGGTGGGTACTTGCTCAGTGATCCTGGTCAGCGTAATAGAGACCGCATCGGACGGACGGCGGCCACGCTCCTGGTGGAGTTGGCAGTCCGTGGTTAGGGGCTCAAGGAAGATGCGACGAGCGACCGAATTGGATGGCTCTCGGATTTTAGCTTCGGGGCGCTGTCGGATCAGGAGAGCCCCAAATACAAATCGCAACCCCGACTCCCGCCGCGGCTTCGCGCAGGAAAACAATGTGAACGCCTGGGGCTCCGGACTCGGCCCCAGCCGCCCCGCCCGCCGCCCCACCGGACCCACCCCCCGCCAGCCTCTGGCTAGCGGGAACTAGCTCCGCCCCCAGAGGTCGGCGATACCACGCCTCTCGTCACCTCTCCGCCAATAGTGCTGCCAGGGGGCGGGGCGCCAGAACCACAGTCCACCCCGAGGGCCAGGCCGGGAGGGTGAGCTGAAGGCCAGAGGCCAGCGCGAGACTGACAAACCCACGGAGAGTCGCCGACACCCATACAGGGAAAGAAACACACCTAGAGTCAGAGACAAGCTGACACGGGAGAGACTGCGGAGAAATCTCACAAGAGGAAGGAGCAGAAGCTGGCTCAAGAGAGACAGGAAACCTGGGGGCCTCGGAGGGGACGGGCTGTTGGGTTGGAGCCTACGCCATTCTCCCTCCCTTCCCTTGGCGACCTTGGTCCCTGGGGACTCTCCAGTCTCTCCCTGACTCTACCCCAACCCTCCATATGCTTTTTACATCCAACTCCTCCCCAAGTGCTTTCCCTGGTTTGTTCTGACCCCAATAATAAGGCCTCACATGCATTTGAGGGCTTGAGGCCTGGGAAAGGAAAACCTGCTTTAATGGGGAGAGGAAAAGGGGATTATTTGAAGGAGGTTTTCCTTGCCCCTATCATCTTCTTCCCTCCCACCGCTACAGTTAAAGCAGGATGGGGTATGGACACTATGCCAGGAACTATGAAGTCAGGGAGCCAGGGTGATGGGCAGTGAGGCTGTTGGTCAGTGGAAGAGGACAGGTAAGAAGGGCTGAAACATTGACTCAGAATCACACAGAGGAGTAACATGGAGACCCAAAAAAAGAGAGAAAGTGACCATCTGCCCTAACCCCACAGAGCCTTTCTGCTTCCACAGACACAGGGTCACAGACATTTGTCCCATCTTTCCTCTGGGGACTCTGGACATCCCTCCAAACAGCAGAACTGATCTTTTTCCATCCTTACCCTCATAAGGACTATTTGGTTCTGGGAATGTCAGTGAGGAGGAAGAATGAGATCACTTCAGATAGTACTGTCTGGCTGCCACCTTG